AAACACAAAGCTACTTACATGCGCAAGCACTTGCAGAACCAGGGCAGTGAGCAAACACAATTTTATTCCCTTTATTCTACTGTTTCCCCGGCATAAAAACCTTATCGGTCTTCTACAACATTGCCTCATACCTTGTCTGTCTTTTTTTCTTGTTTTTCCAATATGGCCATGTTTTCTTTCAGAATTTTCACAATCTCAGCAGGATTTTTGTGCGATTTACTAAACAAAGGCATGGTTTTTCTTCACCTGGATTTCTTCCTTCAGGATAGAAGAGGACTGCCTTAAATCAAACGAGAAACAAAAATAGCTTTTAAGGTTTATACGAAAATGCAATAAAAACACACAAAGACATTATGAACAAGAAAAGGTTATGCCTCAGGCACTATATTTTGCTTCAGCTACTCAGTAAAGCAGTAAAAGTTCTCACATACAGTTACTGCAAGTTCATCCATGATTCACAAGCGACCATTAGCACACGGAAAGCAACTACTTGGCACCTGCGCAGGAGCTGGATGCTTCCTAAAGCCCCTGACCGACAGGTCAGCGCTCCAGCGAGTCTATGCCTATGTCCAACGTTTTTTGGACACTGCGTATCTGGCAGGCTCCACTAGATTTCTGATAGGGGTTTCTGCCAAACTTCACCAGTTTCATCGCAATGCAGATAACTAACAGTAGACACCAGCGTACCAAAAGCGTCCTTTGTTTAGAGTATCACAAGATAAGGTCCCAGCTTCTCCACCATTGCTCCTCCTTCTTCAGCTGCTTTTCTTTTTCAGCCTAAAGCTTCTCGAGAAGAAGCAGTTGAAGCTACCCCCTAAGCCTGACAGACTTCAAGAATCTGTGGGTCAGATCTCACTTGCGTAAAACATAGCCTGAATTAAATAAGGAACAGAGGATCAGGCCCAAATACGGACACAAATGTTTTCATGACATTTAAATGAAAGACTGAGCATTTTAATGAAAATGGGTTTGTTTAATTTAAAACATTCTTCCTCTGTATGGTTAGAAAGGCAAATATCACATCACTGTATTTATACATGAAAGAAACCAAGTAGCTTAGTTTCTGATCCTACATAGCATTAAGTTGTGAATTCCCATGGGTTTTGCTGAGGGTCTGATACAAAGATCTACTGAAATCAATGGACAGACTACAGATAGAAATACGCTCTGGTTAAGGCAGTACCACTTTCCAGGGAGAGCACAGCACCATTCTGGACTGCACTCCAGTTTGTACAATAACGAAGAAGAGGTTAAAAAAAAAAAAGACAAAAATAATCTCAAACTTTCATCTCTTTCCACAACAAAAGACAACCATCACTGTCCCTCCCCTCACACATTTGCAAGATTAGTTGTGAAAACATAAATATATACAAAAGCCACTTCAATCTCCTTATTCTTCTTCAACTTTTACAATTTAAAAAAAGCTTTATACAAGAGGTTTTAAAGGAGAGAATTAAATGAGCACAATACACACAGGATAATGAAGAAAACCCAGTGGTCCCAAAGAACCCACTCCTGTCACGCTTCGTTGTTACTACTGACACACTACAGAGTCCATCAGGAAGTATGAGCCCATTTGTGCCATACATCCATGTGTTACTAATCCCCAAATATCCTATGGAATTAATACCCAGATTAGATATACATTCTATTACAACTATAAATAGCAACCATATAAAACAGCCGAGTACAAAATTCAAACCATAGAGGAGTACTTTAAAAAAATTAAAAAAAAAAACCTGTACAGACTCTGTCCTAACATCTTATTAAAAACATTTCAAAATATTTTTGCAGATTATCTTTACAAGAACAGTTTCTATGACACACAGGAAATATTTTTAAATGTCTTATTTAAACCAAAAGTTCCTTTATAGTGTCCAGAGTAGGTGAATTTGTATACAGCTTCTCATTTGTTGCTAGGTCAGTTTTACAGGAACATTTTCATGTTCAACATCTGAAAGCTCACCACTTTCGGATTTCCATTTTCAAGCTCCTCATGGTTCAGTTCAAACTCATTTTTATTTCTGCAGTTTTGGCTACGTAACCCTCACTCCTTGGCTGAGCTCTTAACTGCGGAGTCCTGCTCCCACGGAGCTCACAACTGCAAGCTTTGGCAGCACCATCCAACTAGCAACAGAGCAGAGTCACACCTCAACCTGATAACGTGCATGACTGAAGATTGAGTATGCTAACGACTAACTCATTTGGGCATGTTCAGCTACATTACAAGCACTGGAAAAGACTGGGATGCCAGTATTATACAATAAATTTGTTTAAACGCTGCTAGCAAGCGCCAAGCACCCCGTAATCCCGCACGTGCTGCAATTAGAAGATTAATAATTCACAACACACTTTGAGAAGGACTTGATTCTACATGTTTTTATTATCCGTGAAGACACGGCATGAGGATGTGAGGATGCAAGAGAGAGAGAGTCTGAGAGCAGGAGCTTAGCAGGCACGTTGCATTTCAGAAAAGAAGTATTTTCATCTAAGGTGGGGCAGGTTTATTCAGATTGCTGAAGCCATCCCTTCAGCTTCCCCTTCTAGAAGTCTCCACACAAGGAAAAGCAAAGGGGGAGATAATTTGATTTTTAAATTGAACTACTCATGAGCTAGAGGTTCTGAGATTTTAAAAAAATGAAGTCCATATTTCTAAGTGAAATGTTGACTATAAATTAGAAACACATTTTCCTCCCAAAAAGTAACTTACATAGCTGTCTAGAGTATGGTGTCTGTATTTAAATAATCACTAATTTTGCCATAAAACTCCAACAGTCAGGCTAGCACTTTTCCACTGTGTAGTTCCAGTCTCACCACCAAGTCACCACAGCACTGCTCAGTGATAAAATACCATTTCTCTTCACTTCATACCCTACCAGTGTCCTAATCGCAAAAGCGAAATCACTGATAATAGGACAGGAAGGGACTCAAGAGACTTTTTAGTTCATCCCTCTGCTGAACAGAGCCAAGTCTCTGCTTCACTTCATTTATCACTTACACGCAAAGCAAAGCATCCCCTGTATGCAAGCGGAGGCAGACAGAGAGAAAAAGCGGAAGAACCCCAGATGTGCATCGAAGAACGTTTTTGGATTTACCCCTTTTCAGGACAGTATTTAACCCATCAGCAGCTGGCAAAAGATGATCCATCACTTCAGAATATACCTGGCAGCTGCAGGTTCTGGTCCCTTTAGCTTCTCCATGCAGGAATCTCCTAGGGGGCATGTGCTATTCACAATTACAGGTAGAAGCAAACGGGGGCAAAGTCACTTCACTGAGATTTGGGAGTTGTACTCCACAGACTTATGCCTGGCTACTCCATAAGGCACATGGCAAAACAAGGACTCCTCTCCTCCAGCTTTGCTCCCCATGACTGGATTCTCCAGCATCAAAAAAAGCATGAGCTCTTGCTAAAGCTCTTAACACAGCTGGGCATTTCTGCCCTGTCCTCCTCCTTGTATCAGCTTTCTGCTCTCTAAGCTTTACTTGGAAGGTCTTCTCTCCAGTAGAGGCACTAATTTGGTTTAAATTCCCTATTCCTTTCATCACTTATTTTCAGTCCACTTTTTGGAACTCGATATTCTCCAGGCATCTAGCCCTCTGTCAAGGTTGCTTGAAATTGGCTAGTAAGTTCAAAAGTTACCATGGGAAGAGAAGTAGGATGAGAGATGGACAGTGTGACCACATAAGCTTTGTTTTCTCAAGAAACCAGTCTAAAAATAACTGAAATACAAAGATGAATGACAACTGAAAAGAATGCAACACAGGCTTACCAAAGGTAGCTCATACTACAATCCCTTATGAATATATTTTTAGACAGAGAAAACACAGTAGAACCCATGCATCTAACATGGAAATACACTAAATTGGGTATAGTAGAAAATAAACTAGTTGAAGGAAAATTATCATGTAAAGGGAGACTGATTGTCTGAGAAGGTGAGAGCAATTTGGGGACAGGATCGTATTTAGAGAGGCATAGGAATTAAGAGCCTACCCAAAAAATGTGGTAACTCAAAATAGGAAGATATTAGCAACACAGAAGAGAACTGGAATATCATTACCTGAGAAACTAGATTGCCTCAAGGACTGAGATAATAAAAATGGGATAAAAATTGAGAGTAGAAAGTATCAGATAATGCTGAATGGCAGAAGAGACAGAGAGTTTGTAGATGCCCCATCCCTAGAAACATTCAAGGTCAGGTTGGACGGGGCTCTGAGCAACCTGATCTAGTTGAAGATCTAGATCTAGATCCAACCCCTCTCCCCCATGGCAGGGGGTTGGACTAGATGACCTTTAGAGGTCTATTCCAACCCAAATCATTCTGTGATTCTCTGAATACCCGCTTCAAGCTGAGGACTTGCCATAAGAAATGATAGACACCTGGTGACTACACCTGTATTTTACAGACAGGAGAAAGAGACACAAATCTGTGATGAATTAAGAAAGTAATTGCCAGTAGAAATACAAAGGTATTCATGTCTTTGTACAAAGTTTTGATGGAGCTTCAGATGGAACATTGTACACAATCCTGAACACCTGCAGTCAAGTAAAATCAACAGAGATTAGAGCTGGTGCAGAGAAGGACCCTAGGCTGGCCAGAAAAATGGGAAGACCAGCATGTCTAGGAGGCTAAAGCTGCTTGCCTTGGTAAGCTTCGAATAAAAATACAGGGATGCTGAAGAAGTTATTTCAGCTCAAATAACAATAACACTTTATTTATGCAGAAACAAATGGCTATAAACCACCGATGAATAAACTTAAGCTGAAAATGTAAAGGTTTCCAACCATTGGAGCTTTGAGATTTTGAAATTACCTACTCTACCAGGCACACTACAGAGCATCTGTTCATAAATTTTTGACACTGCTGTCTGGCAGCAAGGGACAGGGCTGAATGAGCCTCTTTCTTTCCTACTTTCTAGGAAAACTTTTTCCATCTAATGGTTATTCAACATATGTTTTTATAACATCAGAAATGCATTGTGGACACTCCTAAATTAGTAACGGGGGACCAGCCAACTTCTGAAACATTTAGTTGTGATGACGTTATTTCACCGGTGCTCTTGTGAGGAGCTTATGAGACTGAGGAAAGAAACAGCTGTATCTCACCGGACCGATTCTCTCGGCCTCGGAGGTTGTCTCTCCTGCTCATGTGGAAAATGCACCGGCAGCGCTGTAGGAGGAACGGTGGTTTCCAAAGCCTGCTGTTGCCATCAGTATGAACAGGACGTTTCAGCCACCAGAGCTGGAGAGTCCAGCACATTTTATGAGCCCTACTTTTACTAAAATACTTTCAGGGAAATAATTCCATGTTTGTTTGGGAGAAAAAAAGGGCACTGATTTTATTTTACGTAAGTGACAGAAACACCAAAAGGCAATTTTAAAGCACCACTTTCTAAATGTTTGGCTGTTTCTGTTCAAGTCAGAAAAAAAACAAAACAAACCCATCACACAGACTAAAGCAGTGAGTTGAATCCAGAGGTGGACTAGGTTTACAAGACGTGAGTTTTAGGGTATTCAGTAGCCTGTCAAAGGTAACGTAACATCCCTTCATACTCAGGGCATGCCTTCCCTCAGAGGCCACCAACTCTGCAAACATTTAACCAAGATGGAAAACACACTTCCAAAAAAACCTATATACCTGCTGTTACTCTGCTCCCTCTGCAAAGGGAGAAGCTGAAGCACAGACAGATTAGAATACTTACCCAAGGCCACATAAAAAAAATCAGTGGCTGTGTCAGGAATGAAACCTAGATCATTTGACACCAAAGTCTATGCTTTATCAGTCTTCAAAATATCTCTTCTGCCAGTTTATGTGCTCATAAAGGGAATGCACTAAAAAAAATTAGTGCAACTTGAGGTCTTTAATACAACTACAAAGTACAGTAAGAGATCTAGTTCTGTTTATAGGCACTCTCCCCAGTTTCCTTGCTCTTAATCATATACTTTCTCAAAAGATTACAGCGCAACTGAGCTTGTAAGCACGATGAAGGAAAAATGCAGGCAGCAACATCACTCTACTCACCGGCCCATCCCACTATGAAGTGACTCAGTTAAGCAGCTCGGTAACAAACACTTCCTCCTGCCCACGAAGGCAAGAATGGGAGAGAGCGCGTGAGCCCATCCATGCGCTCTTCACAGATGTTCCTCCGGACAAGCCATCTGCTCTTCAAAAATGAATGAGCGAAACAATTTCCTCCCCTTCAAGTATCAGACATCCGTCTTGTCTTAGTTCTTAACCTTCGTCGACTTCTTGATCAGAATCAAAACATTTCAATAACTCATATTGGGTAAGAGTTTCTTGAATGGAAAAAAAGACCTTCATTTTCCATTCACCCCAGTGCACCTAGGACCCATATATTTGGGGCCTGAATTAGCACACTTTCTTCATCATTTTGCCTAATTCAGTCTCTACATAATGGAAGAGACGCTTTATTCCCTCCTCATTTCTCCCTCCTGCCATATTTGGGAAAGTTTTTACAATTACAGAGTCACGTACTCAAACCAGGGGATGGAAGCCCCCATGTGTGATGATCACCTGGAGAAGTCCAATCCGTCCTCCCTCATGCAGCCCCCTCACACAACCCACATTTCATTCGATATGCAAAAGGAATCAGGGCTACACAACAAGTAATTTCTCTGCAAATCCTTAACAAGTTGCAGATTTTGGAAGGTACATTGCAAATGAGACAAAAGATTAACAGGAGAGGACAGTTTTATGGTTAGGGTGAATGAATGCCATCTCTGCTTGGCAACAAAATTATTCCAAAAACTCAAGAATTTACTCATCATAAGCCTTGCTGTTGGCTACTTGTTGCGTTACCTGGAATGAAGGTGAATACTGGCTGAAACTTCATCTGAACACACATAACATCGCAGTAATGCCTACCATCGCCACAAATGTTTTTTTTTTTAGCAGATGGCAAGCACCCTGAAGATCAGACATGGAAAATAAGTAGGCAGCTCCGACCTTAATCTGATCACCTCTACAGAATGAGAACAATAATATCACATAATTGTTCAATACTGTTATGAAACTGAAGGCATTCGTGGTGATGCTCCACTCAAGTGCTGTGGTGTAGCTCTATGGAAGCACTCAAAGAAATTAATAATTCTATTTTTAATTGAGTTCTTGAATGCCCGTTCAATAAAAACCAAAAAGTCTATACAGTCTCTCAGCAAACACGGGGAATAAAACAAAACACCGAACAGCTATCTGGTCACTGAGGCCACAGTTTGATAAACGCTTTGTTCCGTGACAGTGCCATCCTGCTCCCCATCTACTCACATCCCTGCAGCCTCTGTTGGAGTGGTGCAGCTGTTTGCAGGGTGTCGTGGTGAGCCAGGTCAGGGAACCGACCCAGGTTAACAAAAAATAACCTGGTGGGGAAAAAAAGGTCACACTGGTTTCCAGTCCAGTTCTCCCCAAAGTCTTACAAAGAGCTGTACCAGCACAACAGGGGAAGAAGGGGATGAAAGAAGGGTAGAGAGACAGGGCTGCTGGAGCAGATGCTACAGCTCAGGTGTTCACCAGCCAAACCCAGAATGAGGCAGTGATGATGGGAAAGGGGGTGAAAATGTGTGATGATACAAACTTAATGAAAGTATCCTGAGTAGGGTACAGAGAACAGACTACATTGGCACAGATAAATGCCAGACTTCAAGTTAGGAGCCTTTTGAGTGTTTGACTTTGCTGCCTAGTGTCCTTTTATTGCAGCAAGTCCTGTGCTACCACATCTATTATTATTATAAAATATTTATTACAAACCAGCATTGGCACACTGCAATGCCAGGTAACATTCAGGTTCTAAAGCCATGCAGAAGTGGCGTCCTGTGGCACTGTACTCACACCTGCATAAGTCATCTCTGTACCACAGGGTTACACGGGCTCTCCCACTGATGCTAACGAACTAGCTAGAAGTAGTAGGTTATTACCTTATGTTGAATAAAACTAGAAAGATAAGAAACCAGCGGTTTTACAGCCACCAAATTTGCAGGATTGATGAGTCAAGAATATTTGAGCTCCCCATTTCCATTTGTCACCATGGAGGTTTTTCAAACCTAAAAGATTAAGAATTCAATTCCATGCCTAACTGTAGTCCATAGCAAAACTCCCACAAGCTCAGTCATGCAGAAAGAGGTCTCTTAACTAATGTCTCTGAAGTACACACAATTCTAACAGAACAGCCCTTAACAGCTTCTCATTTACTTAAGGGAAACCAAGTTAAACTTCCATTTCTAGTAGTAATAATAACTGTAGAAATAATGGAAACTGGTAATATAATTTAAATAACACAGGCAGCAGTCAGGAGGGAATAGGACTTCCTCTAAAACCATTAGTGAGGAACATGAATACTATTTTTGCTTTTTGTTCAATATTACTGAAAGTTACCTCTCTACACAGCATTCACTAGACCATGTCCTTAGCAAGCCTGCTGTGTTACTTTCAATAGCTTCATAAAACATTAAAATAATTTGCTATAGCAGTAATTTCACTTTACTACTAATATTAGTCCAAGAAAGAGTCTTTGCTCAGACAAAAAACTTTCCTTAAGCTCAATGAAAGTTCTGCCTGATAACAACTTCACGAATAGCCCGTTCCACGGAATTAGCATTTCAGGTTAATGAGACCTATTGACTATAAATAACAAGATGGTTAATTTACACATGCCATTTCTTGTGACAGTTCACACGTGCGCTCATCTTCCCTTCATCTCTAACCATTTCCCAATGTCTTATGCAAGTGGCCACGCTCTCATTCCTCTGCATCTCAAGAGCCAGTCCGCAGCTGCAGGCAGTCAGCGGAGAGGAGCAAGAGAAATGATATATTGCAGATATTTTATTTTTGGAAACCGCACTGTAAATAAAGCCATTTCCAGAGATATTCCATGGACACGGAGCACTTGGTCGCAGAGCCAGCGCCTTATGTAACAGGAGGAGTATTGTTTAGGGTTGCCTGCTTTAAAAAGCCACTCCTGGTAACACAGTTTACAAAGCTATAAAAAGCTAACAGCGTAACTATTGAGAACAAGCAGGCAAGCGGTTTATTACGAAAAGGCTGGTGTTAACTGGAAAAAGAAAAGTTTTATTAAATCACTTAACTTTCTGTCACTCAGAGGACATCATCTCGGCTGACACTTACTGCGTGCGGAAAGGTGGGGGGCTCCTAGGCAGCCCTGCGCAGCCCCATGGCCAGGTGCTGAAGACAGCTCTGCCGCCTCCCTGCAGCCCACGCCGCCAGCAGCCGCCTTCAGTTATCTTCCATTTAATTCCGCTTTATTCCCCCCTTGCCGATTATCGACACGTGGCAGAGGCAAGGGATCCCACGACTCGGCCTCCCGCTCTTCTTCTGCCGAGTGACCGTCGGCCTCTGGAAAAGCGTTAGCAGAAAGGATCTCTTGAACATGCACAGGCGCTCACAAGCAGCTGTAAATTTCCACTCCCCACTGCCTGTCGCCAGACTCCCGGCCTCGCTCCGGCTCCTCGCTGTTCCTGCTCTGACTAGCTCTGTGGCTGGGTGTGCATTTTTCCCCACTGCCCTCCCTCGCTCGTCTTGCTCACAGGCTCACACACACCCCCAACTCCACGTCAGAGGAACGCATAGAAAAGCAAAGGAAGAAGCGATCGCTCTGCCGAGAGATTTCTCCAGGGTTAAGGGAGGAGATGTGACGATTTCACATCACTTCTGTAAGTTTCCATGCCCCTCTGAAGTCTGTCGGTGTAGGGGACGCATCACTGACGGGTCCTCGCACCATCACGTGGCGGAGGCTGCTGGAATTAAATTATTCACCTTGCTGTCCTGCTGAGAATGCAAATAAGGGAGCCCAACAGCTGGTTGTTGTTCCAAGATAATAAAATCAACATGCTCACGCACCACGTCTTTCAGCAGAGTCCTCCCCAGAGAAGCCGAAGTTAAGCTGCTTCCTGCCTGACTATATATTATAACATAAAGATCCGAATACTTTTCCACAATAATACTGGAGGGGGAAAAAAAAAACCTGCAGTATAGTCTCAGCACAATTTAAATCCCACTGAAGAAAAACATTAGCCTAAAGTATTTTTTCAAAGGCTAATGTGATGAGGAAAAAAATCATACAATTAAAGTATTCTGAAACAAGTACTACCAGCTATTACCAAGCACACAAATACAGCAAAATGCATTTAAAGGAATTTTTAATGCTTCACTTTTCTCTCTCGGCAGCTATTGCTCAGCAAGCGCCACGTATTCCCAAAGGGAATGGTGAGTGCCTTCCCCCCCGGCTGTCTAACAGTCTTTGAGAGCAGGGAAAGAAGGATGCTTTACCAGCCACCGTGGGCACTGCAGGATGGGATTTAGATCCATCCTCACCCGGATCTCGGCCGAGCCCCGGCAGGGATGAGAGCCCAGCATGTGTTTCTGCTGATCTCACCAGCTCGGGGGGAGATTTCACCTCCCATCCCCTCTTCCTCAGGGCAAAGCCCAGCCAAAGTCCTACATTATTAAAAATAATTCTGTATGCTACATTTGCTTGGGGAGCTAACCTCAGTCCCCGCCACATACCAGTTCTACAGTCGCATCAGATCTTGATTTAGGGCTCACCTGCAGTAGCTATTCACAGCCCTACGTTAAAGGCAACCAAAAAAGCATGAGAAACCTAATTTCTGAGGAATACAGATGAAACAGCCACCTTTTAAAGGGCTAACATCCTTTGCTAGCGATCCCAGCTCCTAACTGTGGCAAACAGGAGTATTCCAAATCCTCACTTTGAAGAGCCAAGAATCAGGAACTTGCCCGTCCCTCCCAGGCTCAGAGAGGCAGAAGTTGTCCCTGCTCCCTTAACCTCCCTGCATTTGCTCCTGCATTTGCACAGGAGGTGCTGAGCTGACCTCAGATCAGCAGATTTGTGCTCTCAACTTATCTGTAAAGCGCACCACCGTTTGTGCTTACGCTTTACCTAACAGATCATCAAGATACCTCAGCCCCATGTTTTTGGACTGCCCTGAACAGTACTGGGAACAGGCAGTAGTGCTGCTCGCGCTGCACCCAAAAGCGCTGCAACAAGTGACACCAAGTGGCAATTTCTGCTCCAAACCCGTAGTGAAATATTCCTCCAGCACAGAATTAAAGGCTTCATGTTGGACACCCCCAGCCACGTTTCCTCTCTAGACCACCTACAGAGAGAGCTCAGTGAGGGATGCTGTGGACGCCAAGCTCGGAGCAGGACAAGCTGCCCTCCAAAGCGGCATCTTTCTCCACGAAGCTTAGTGGGCACATGGACAACCGGCACAGGCTGACGTTTCATGACATGAAGGACTTGGGGGGAAAAACTGGCGCTGGGCATCATTTCATGGACGCCTTGCTCTGCCCCAGCTCGGTGGGGAGAGGGAAGGGCCACTGCGCCCTGTGGCACATGACACCCACTCTGGGGTTGGCCCTTTCTTTTTTATCGGATACTGCAGCCTTTGGGTAAACATCATAGCAAAAGTCAAACGATAAAAACTCTGCCCTTGGACTACTACTAAAGGTACCGGCTTTTCCTAAGGCAACACAAAAATCTAGGTACGCCATGTCATTAATTTCCACTGTGTGTTTTTAAGATAATAACTTTTTTCCTCTAACTCTCCCGAGGGAAATTATAACCTTTCCATAGCGCATCCACCAGCACTTCAACAGGTAAAAAGACACCCCTCTGTTGCCTCATGGAGTTCAACATTGGTGGGTGCTACCCTACAGTTGAATAATCACAAAAAAGCTGTTTTAGCTGCACATTAAGGGGCCCCACTGGATAATCCGTGTATCACTGAGTTCCCTGAAGTATTCACAGACCATTCTGAGTAAGCAGCCCTTTGGAAGCATAAGAAATTTATCTAGAAAATTACTATCCTCTGTTTTGGACTAAATACGCCTGGTTTTCTGGTTCTGAGGAATAAATTGAATATGCACTCAATTTACAGTTCAACTTTGCCAGTCTTCTACCTGAGGAAATACTTTTGGGCTTTAATAGGAGCCCTCTACACTCCAGGAGAGCAGGAAACACGCCTGCCCCCATCCCTGCATTGCAGCAGGGGAAACAGTGCAAAGCAGAGTAGCTAAAGGGGCAGAGGAAAAAAAAATTACCTGCTATTCCAATACTCTGTTTCATCTTCAATGCAGTTAATTCTCAGATAACAGGAAAAGGCCCTGAACCATCCAACAGGAATTAAGCCATAATTACTTAGTACTCTTATCTGTTTGGGTTTTTTTGTTGCCAAGAGGTTATTAAATATTTCAAAATAAATGTTTTCTTCAATTCTTAATTTGTAGCCATCTCAAATCTGGAATGATGTCATTATAAATAGCCAACAATTCTTTATAGTCTCAAAGTACACTGAAAAAAAAATCTCTGTGCACTGCTAAAGGATGCCACCCTCCACATATTTAAATTCCATTATATTTGTTTCCTTTAAAGTGAGCAGAGTCCTCAGGCTAAAGCATGGTTAGAGTACTTTTGAGAAATGCTTGTCCTTGCTTTCGTAACTTAAAATCATTCCATCTAGTAAAGACCAAAGGAAGAAAGCCCCAGTCCATTATTCCTGCCCTTTCCATATATTTTCTAAAGTCGAAAAGAGAAAATAGGGAACTTGAACAATGAGTGTGGTAGCAATACATTACAGCAGCAGATGATAAACACGCAGTACATATATATTAATTCTGCTCATTTCATCACCCACTTCCAGTCTACCTCCTCCGAGATGAATTCCAGCATTCCAAAGCCCTAAGCAGCCTCAGATAATACTAATACTACTAATAATAATCCATCCTTCCTTCCCCCAAAATTGGTCAATGCCAAGGCCCTAGGCCATCAAAATTCAGTTCTCCACAGTGACAGGTTTAGTTGTGTAATACTGGATATCAGGACGAGAAACTTCAGAATACTAAAAAGATTCCCCCACCCTCCAAAACCTGAAAACTAACCCCCCCCTCCACACACACACACAGGATTTCATCCTACTCTTACAGATCCCAAGATATCAACATTATGGCAGTTTATCGGGGTGGAGGGGAACTAACACCAAATTACTTATCTTCATTGTAAAGCTGTTACACTTTAGCTGAAGGCATTTAGCTTGACGACAAAGCAATATAAAAAGTGTGCCCAACAACACTTCTAAAACCTCATAAAATAAGAGGACAGACTTTACAGTAACTTTGTGCTTGTATGTTATATCTACAGATACTCATTTTCCTCAGATCCCCTGCAAGAGCAATGTGGCCACTCCAAATTAATGCCATTAAAACTCTTCTTCATCTAATCGATCCCAAATACAACATCCCCACTTACTTTCTTCCCCATATAATCTCAGAGGGAGACAAACTCAGAACTGAGCCTATACACGGATCCCCCCCAGAAAGCCACGGGCACTGAAAGGCAAATTAACCTTTAGCTGCTCATCTGAATACAAAACAAGGCAAAAAAAGGGGTACAGTCTACAGAGGGGCAGGTGACTGCCTTTTAAAAAGCTTCTGGCCTCTCTCTGGACTAGAAAATTGAAAATTCTTTAGTGACGCATCAGGGAACAGAGAGCAGCCAGAGGCAGTGGCTGACCTGTAGCTGCATTTTAGCTGAAGTAAGCGGGAGGATTTGAATGGATGCTTTGTACAAGCTATTCCTAAAAATGCAAAGATGTCTTCAACAGTTTTCCCCTCTTCTTCCTCCTGGCTCCCTCTAGTGCTCTTAAGCACATACTGCCCTTTTCTTCCTGTTTTATTTAATGCAAATATAAACAATTGCTAAGATCATGTATTTTTTTTAAGACCTGCACCAACTCTTACAAACTGCTCAGAAGTTTTTACTGAACGTATTATTCACATGTACATCACTCCAGCAATCACAGACTGACACCAGGCTTTCTACCAGAAATCTTTATCTATTAAATACTTTACGTACAGGCCAGCATATTTAAAATTTTACGCATTTTAAAGGCATCCGTCAGCTCCATCCTTAGAGAAAGTCACCTAAAATGAATCCCTTTCCCTGCACGTTCCCACCCCAAACAGGAATTACATCTAAACAGGAGGTTACTAAAGCCCAACAGCTGAAAAATAGAACAGATTAAAATTTTATGCCTGCTCTAAAGGGTCACTTATAAAATGTTAATCGCATCCCTTATCTACTGTGTCCCCACATAAAACACAATTAAGAACCATACCTGCACTCCCACTTTTATGAGTGGAGGAACAGTGAACTCATGACAATATCGTGCCTTCTAGCTGCGGGTGCATGCAAACAGAAAGTAGTCCTCCAAAATCAGTAACTCCCCGGAGAGCTGAGCAGGTATTTTTAATATAATTAAAGCCTTCACCTCTCCAAACTGCTTCTATCCCAGCTCTGTATAGTCAACCACTTCAGTGGACGTGTGTGTTTGTTTAAGGTCTATTCACAGAATTAAAAACGTGAAAAGGAAAGCTCATTTCAGAAGGAACAAGAAAAAGAGCTTTGCTGAAGATTTAAAATTTAACCTCTCATCACATGTGTACCCCAAGAGGCCCAACCTTACAGTTCATATC